GAACCCTGAAACAACCTCTGGGCTGATCTAAGTCAGGGCACAGCTATCTCACAGATTGAACCGGGAAACCGGAACTGGGCTGATCTAAGTCAGGGCCCGGCTAACTCACAGATTGAACCCTGAAACAACCTCTGGGCTGATCTAAGTCAGGGCACGGCTAACTCACAGATTGAGAAAAACCGAAGAAAGAGAAAGTGCTAACAAACTCTACTGACATATGATGGTATTTTTCTCATCCCCTTCTTCAGGGCTTTCCCGTGGGTACCAAACCAGACGAACAAGACCCTGCATGTGTGCCTAACGCAAAGTACACACTTGGAGAATTCTCGGTAAGAAAAATCTTGATTGTTTTGCTCCTCAGCATAGGGTCCGTGAAACCACTATCGGGTCTTTTTACGTCTTTTTATTGTTGATATTCAGGTCATCCGTCACCTAATCCGGGTTCTGCCCGACGGACCTCAAAGGAAGCGAGAAGTAGATTACGTGTTGGATAAGATTTCCGAGACAATGACCCCCATGCATTACCATGCGCGAGAAGTCATCTTCTCTACCTTCCAAAAGGTTAGTCAACCACACCTCAGTACCCTGTCACTATGGCTACTATCAAAACTGTCACCTTAGCCCCATGTTACTATGGTTACTAACAAAACTGTCACGTGACAGGAACGAATCACTCTCAAACCAGTTCTAAAAGTTTTAACTTCTCCTTGGACCTATCCTTTTTTTCCATTTCCCTTCCATTTAGTTTTTCTTTTTTATTTCATCATTTCTTTCCATTCCCATTTCGTTCGTTAACTCATTTCTATTTATTTACCATTTACTATGCCTGTTTTTCTTGTCTTTATTTTCGTTCCCAGTTTTTACTTCCTTGTACTTTTCTTTTTTCTTTTCTATTTTCTTTTCTATTGTTTTCTTCTCTTTTCCTTTTGTATTTTGCTTTTCTTTTCTATTTCATGTGTTGTTTTTCCCGCTACTTTTATTTCCCCCCAAAACCTGATCCTCGTGAACTCTGCCTCCTTTTCTTTTTTCTCCAGTACAAGCACGCCAGTCCAGATTGCCCAGAACACAAGATGGATCTACGAAAGCAAAGCCTGTATTGTCTTGAGCGTTACTTTTATCTAATAATCTTTAATACATATCTACACATGGAACGACGTACAAAGTGGAAGAGAACCTTCTGTCAGTGGATGACACAAGTCGCTTCTGCTGCAGGCGTCTACGATATTCTGGATAATTTTGGTTTCCATGACTTCGAGAAAACAGAGGAGAGACTACAAGCACTGCGATGGAGATGGCGGGAAAGCTTCAGAGGTAAACCAGGATAGTAGATGGTTATCTTGGAGTTCACGTGAGGCACAAGGGACGTACATACAAGTTGCTAATATACGTCGACTATTATTGAATTATTTAAACAACGTCGTCGATACCATCGCATTCGTCTATATGTAGCTATCTATATAGGACGCTTATTATCAAGCATTCATTTAAATCTGGTCACGTTTTGTTAGGCAGGATCTAACGCGTTGTAGTGATGCGACATTCTATAGTGCTGGTCACGCAATCAGATGGTCACGCAATGCTGCTAGTTTGCTGTAACGTTTACTTTGGCAGTCTGCAAGAACCAGTTCTATTAGTTATGAAGTGATGTCGTTCATTTAGAGATGCTGGTTGATTGACAGCTGAACATTACGTCATTACTTTCGAGGCATTTCACTGCTTTAGATACACTAGACAATAAGCAATCCACAATGAAATGGGAATCATACACTTATGACGCCAGCATAGAAACACGGCAGACTTTGTGTGTGTGGGTGTGTGTGTGGGGAGGGGTGGGGGGAGGACAAAGGGGGCTGTGTCCTTTATTTGTCCACTAGGCCCAGTCCAATTGTCACTTGATTACCCCAGCCCAGCCATATCAAAAAGAAAGCAACTGGGTACCAGGTTTTGGTTACCCCCTAATCTTCTCAGCCTAGTCTACTCTCATATATCACTCGTGTGGACTGGGGTGGACTGGGGTGGGCCCAAGTATCCCCCATTCTTCTCTCAGTCCAGTTTACTTGTCATGTACAGACATTTGAGTAGACTGGAGACCAGGGTGAGTAGACCTAAGTCGTTGGTGCGATGTTTACCCATTTCAGACCACATCTCATTCTCAACAGGATCATTTATTTGTTTAATGGTTGCAACTTAGAAGAGAAATGAATATGGATACAACTCAAACAAAGAATATCATTCTCTGACACGTGGTCTGAACTGGGTAAACATGGTACCAAGACCAATTAGGGCTATTGCTCTATCATTCAATGTATTTCATTTATTAATAGGTTATCATTTCTGAGACATGGCTGACATGTTGGATGACACAAGATTATTCCTCCAACATGGGAGTCAGGAACATACAACAATGCAAAAAGTGTGGAATTTAGCTCAACTGTTACTATCATTTCTAAGAAAAAAATGATATAACTGCCATGTTGGATGACAAATCTATTCTGCCAACATAGAAGTCAACAAGGAAAAAAAGTAATCAGTCTTACTTGACCTGGAAGGTGCGATAGGACTGATACGCAGGTCATGACATCCGTAGAGTGGAGTAGGGAGGGAAGGTAAGGATGGTAACACTACTTAGGCTGTACCCAGTTCATGTGGAATAAGTGAAAATATATTGAATATAAGAAAGATTTCTATTTGTTTATCAAATGTATCCTTTACTGTTATATTTATCTCTTAATTTCATTTTTATATGGTGAGAGTCACTTATATAAGGAGTAGAGACATTTACATGATGTTGTTATAAGGCTAAGAGAAACCTTCCAAGAGAAGCCAAACCACAAACAAATACTATAATCTAGAGTTATTATATGATAGTGAAATGAAAGAAAATACTACTTATTATTATCACTGTTATCCTGAACATTCTGTGCCAGGAAATGTGTTAATAAATATTTAAAATTACTTAAGTTATTGACTAAAAAGACTGTTGGTTCTGTATAAATACAACTGGACAGGAATTCTTGTATTTTACCACTTCCTTCTTGAGGGTGTCAGCTAGTTAGACAGTTTTGTACTGTAAAGTAAAAAAACTTGTAATTAATAATAATAAACAGTATAGTCATAATAATCATAAAAGTAATAGTAATGATAATAATAATATTCATATTTATAATCATAAATATAGTAATAAAACTAATAACAATAATAATAATAATACCAATGATAATAAATAAGAATAGTCACTGATGAAATTATATTTATTTATTTTCTCTATATTTGGTGTGTGAAAATAACCCAAAATAGATCCACATAACAAATAATTCATAATTTTGCAAAATGTGTAAAAATGGGCCAAAATCGATCAAAACTATGGGCTATAGTCCATGCTTTTTGCCCGAAAATGGCCCAAAATGACCTATTTTGCATTCTTCATAAATAATGCATATTTT